GTCGGACAGGGCAAGATATGACAAAATAATAATTTCTAAATTATCAAGGGCTCATGAGGGAGGGGGAAGCAGGGAGGGAGGGGACAAAATGAGGACCTCATGCCATGGGTTTAAGTGGAGAGCAAATGTTTTGAGAGTGATGAGGGCAATGAACGTGCAAATGTGCATTACACAATTGATGTATATATGGATTGTGATAAGAGTTGTATGAGTCCCTAATAAAATGATTAAAAAAATAGTTGTATGAGCCCCCAATAAAATGATTTAAAAGACCCAAACAAAAAAAATCAAAAGAAAAGGAAAAAAAGAGTTGTACGAGCCCCCAATAAAGTGATTAAAAAACAACAACACTTGTCTGATGTCACTTTCCAAAAAATGCCGCCCACAGAATACAGCAATATCACCTGCCACGGTCAGCAAGTGGGAACCTCCATCTAACTCCAGGATGCGCACAATGGTCACATACACAAGTGAACTGAGAATGCTCAACGTATTAGAAAAGCAACTTATTTAAGTAATTTAACTTCTTCAGTCTACTATGTCTTCTTATATTATAATTATTCCTCAGATTAGCATGACCCAAATCAATTCAACTGGTAAAGCTCAGAGGTAATATTTAAGCCAAAGTCCTTGGAAGATGAAGAGTGAGTTAATTTACCCATTTTCTAACAGTAATACCAAACCATACCCCAAAACAACGACACAACACACACACACACAAACACACACACAGCCAGAATTCTTAAAAGGCACCCTCCCACAAAGATTGTTCTAAGCACAATGAATAAATTCTGTATGTAGGTAGTATGCGTGGCTGCCTTTAATCAGTGGTGACTGTAAGCCATGAAGACAACAGCCAAGCACACCGGACATTTGCTTGTTTTCACCTGAAAAGTGAAGGTATGCAAGCCTGTATCTTGAAGCGTGAGCCCCATAGTCTAAGTCACCTTTTTCACTGAGAAGATCTAGCATACATTTTGAGTACATCCCAAGCCAGACTCTGCAGCTCTTCCATTCAGTGACCTTGTGCTTGTTAGCATGACCCTCAAGGCCATCTCAGTTGATACACCAACAAAAACTCTTCTTTCTTCTCTCTGTCCAGCCTCTCCATCCTCCGGCCATTAGCCTAGTCCAGGAGCCCTGCATTTCAGGTTTAGATAAAGTCAGTAACAGGTCTTTCTCTCTGCTCCATTTGTCCTTTTTTTTTTAAACCCCTTTCCACCCTGCTGCCAGATCAAGCATCCTAAAATAAAGGTTTTTTTTTTAATGTCATTCTCTGTTCCCAAATATCCACAGAATAAAGTCCAGAGTTTTGTTGTTACTAGCTGTCCTTGAACCTGTTCCAACTCCCAGCACCCCCGTCCACGAGAGATCAAAATAAAACACTGCCTGGTCCTTTGCCATCCCTGGACTGGTCACTGTGATCCACAGGACTTTCGATGGCCATTTTTCAGCAGCTTGTCAGGCTTTCTTCCTAGTCGATTTCAGTCTGCTAACAGAGAAGGAGCAAAGCAACACAAATCCCACCACCGACAGACAGGTGGTGGGGGCCATGGGGTGCACTGGCCAGGAATTGATCCTAGGTCTCTTGCATGGAAGGTCAGAATTCTACCAAGTTTTAGATATTTAAGACCTTTCATAACCCAATCCTAAGCTAATATCCAGCCGAACTTCCCCTGCCAGCCTCCCCATACCCAGACAAACCGGCCTTCTTGCGACTTCCATGTGCTTTCCCATCATGTTTTCCCAGCTCTGGCCCTTTACCACTTAACTCCTCCCTTCTTTTCCCACTTCCTTGTAAACCACGGGCAAAAACAAGTCACAACTATTCTGTAGCTGAGTGAGGGGACTTCAAAAAGATCGTGAGAAATGTCATTGTCTTTCTACTGCATTTTTCCATGAACTTTAAAAAAAATTTTTACTAAAAGATCATTTTATTGCGGGCTCTTACAGCTCTTATAACAATCCATCCAGGCCAGGCACGGAAGCGAGATGAGCTCCTCCACTCAGTCCATGCTCCTGGGCTACTGGGACATCCGAGGGCTGGCGCACGCCATCCGCATGCTCCTGGAGTTCACCAACACCGCGTACGAGGAGAAGCGCTACACCTGCGGGGAAGCTCCCGACTATGATCGAAGCCAGTGGCTGGATGTGAAATTCAAGTTAGACCTGGACTTTCCTAACTTGCCCTACCTGGTGGACGGGAAGAACAAGATCACTCAGAGCAATGCCATCTTGCGCTACATCGCTCACAAGCACAATATGTGTGGCAACACAGAAGAAGAGAAGATTCGAGTGGACATCATGGAGAACCAGATAATGGATTTCCGCATGCAGCTTGACCGGATCAGCTACAGCCCTGACCATGCTTTGGAGAAAATAGCTGAGTACATGCAGTCTGACCACTTCTTCAAGCTGCCCATCAACAACAAGATGGCCCTGTGGGGAAGCAAGAGGTGCTGAGCAGGGGCCCAGCTCGGCTACCACCCTGCCGGTGGGGGGGCCTGTCTTCCATCTTTTGCTCTTTTCAATAAATGGCTTTTAGACTAAAAAAACCCCAAAAAACAAAAAAACAATCCATCCATACATAAATTATATCAAGCATATTTATACATATGTTGCCATCATTATTTTATAAACATTTACTTTCTATTGAGCCCTTGGGATCAGCTCCTAACCCCACTCCTCTTTGACCCCTTGATAAATTATTCTTATTTTCATATCTTACACTGACTGCTGTATCCCTTCCCCCACACATTTTCTGTTGCTCGTCCCCCTAGAGGGGCATGTGTGGTCATGTGTCAATCAATGCAATCGGTTACCCCTTTTTCTCCTCCTCTCCCCACCTTCCCCCGCACCCACCTAGTATTGCTACTCCTATTTCTGTTCCTGGATACCGTGTGTCGTGAACTCTTTTATCTCTTATCTTATCCATGAACTTTCTGAAATGCCCTTGTATTCCAGAATTTTTCAACCATGACCAACAAAGTACATTTTATATCAAAATGCTCTGAATACCTATATTTGGTCACCACACAACAAAATGTCCTGATGTTATGGATTCTTTTCTTGCTCTGGCAGATTCGGTTCTATTCTGCTGCACATGGTCTTGCCAACTCAGAACTTCTAGAAAATGCCAATCCCAGTAGTCAGCACTTACCACGGCCTTGTTAGCTGGGAATCACCTCGTGCATGTGGTGTGGCTAGTCTGATTTCCCCCGCTGTACGGGGAACTACTTGTGGGTAAGAATGAGGTCTTTTATTCTTTTGTAATCCTCTCAGCACTTAGCACAGTACCTGGCCGGTAATTAGAATTCGATCACTGTTTATGGAATCCTTCCTTGTTACAATGAATAGTGTTGATGGACATAAGTCTTGTATATTTTTGGTCTTCAAAAGGATTTCCTGAGTCCATTCAAAGCCAAAAGCTCTGTTGGTGTGGGTGAGGGCACAGGCTTGCTTCCTATTCCTAGACTACAATGCCCAGAAGATTTTCAGGGTGATGGGGGAGGCACAGGGCAAGAAAAACACTTTCCTGCTACTAAAAGGAGGTGAGACTGGCGAAGGCTGCCTACTCATCCAGTAACAAGCCTTGATCCTCCCTCATTGCGTGCTTCTGTCATGTCCAAGGACAGGAGAGGAGGAGAGAAAAAAAATCTCTGGTACTCAGACATGGTCTGGAGAGGTCTTGGCTCAGGGAATCCAGGGCACATCCTTTAGAAAACCAACTACACGTCAACTCTAGTGAGTTGGAATCAACTTGATGGCAAACGAATTGGAAATGTTTATATACAATATCCCAAGGAGCCCAGCGGCACTCTGGGAAAGTACTGGGCTGCTAAACACCAGGTTGGAGATTCAAAGCCACCAGCTGCTCTGAAGGAGAATGAGGAGGCTGCCGGTTTCCATAGAGACGTACAAAGCTCCAGAAACCCTACCTAGGACCAGTACGAGTCAGAATTGACTCAATAGCAATGGGTACCTAATACCCCAGATGAGGATGAAGTGATGACTGGATGTTTGAAACTGCTGATCTTGTCATTAGTAGCCCAACATATAACCACTATGCCACCAGGGTTCCCTATTTTAAACCAGAGACTGATCGCATCTGGATTCCAGGAGGAAGGTAACGGTGGCCACAGTGTGAGCCATGAGGCAGGGAGCACAAGAGAGGGAGGAGAAACCCAGTGGAAAGGCTCGTGGAGCCTCAGGGGGAGAGAGGCTACTGGCTCAGTCGATGAGGACAGACAGTCTGAGCAGGCAGGAGACCTGAGGAAGGAGGAATGGTAGGCCACACCGCCAAATCTCCATAGTCACACAATGGCCACCACACCAAAGCACAACTGTCTTTCTGGTTTTAAAGGACTTAGGTAATTTGATCTCACTCCTTCGACTCCCATATCCCACTCCAATTCCTAATTCCTTTCATTCACCAAAATATCTACTTTGGTCTCCTCACTGCCCCATGCCCACGAATCTATGTTCATTCTTGGCACATTTATTCATGCTTCTTGCCCTCAGGTGGAATGCCAAGGACCCTCCTAACTCAAACCTTGCTTATCTCTCAAGATTTCCTTGAAATTCCTTTTCCATCCTCAAGCATGCCCCAACTTCTCCAGGTTACACTCACCCGTCCCCTTACCATGGCGGCACACGGTGTTTCTCTTTGTTTCAACCACATGTGTGTAACCTCACATGAAGGTCCTCGAGGGCAGGCCCAACCCTTTCACTTTCCCAGGCACCCCCGAATCCAGCGCCCAGCGCAGCCAGGGCTGAGCCACAGCAGCCACTTTTTAGCCAAAGAATTCACCTGTCCCTGGCTTTCCTCCAGAGCACAGAGATGACACGGGTGGCCCCGGAAAAGTGATGTCAGAGCAGTCATCGAGGGTGCTTCTGTTTGACTTGTGTCAACTGTCAGGATGAAGAACTGACGAACTAGCTTTAGTCTGGTCAGTTTTTTAAAGAAACATTGCCTTGGGCATTCTATCTAAGCCACTGGGGGCTGGGAAGCAACATAAACTGGTTTACCACATTGGGATGTAGTAATTGGGGAAAAGATGATCCAATTGGGATAACCTCATATCAACTGAGGCTCAGAAGTCGAGCCAGCAAAGACATGGCAACCAGTGGGGAAAACAGCACCTATTTTTAGTTTGTTTTCAGTAACAGCAGCTTTGTAGACACGAGAACAGCCACTGAGCTGTAGGACTTCTTATTGAGACCCATGCCACTCGTTCTCATCTCTTACCAAACAGTACAAGATTTACTTTAATCATTATTAAGAGAACACTTTATTCATTTCTGTAAATCAAACCCAGGTAGGTAAGACCTAACCCTTACCCCTGTACACATGGGAATAAAACTAAATTTAATGTTTCTAAACTAGTATGGTTGCTAATCTCTGGATGCTTTTCAAAAGTTGACAACGCAGTTAAAGTTTTAAAAAATTCAAATGATCCATATGTTTGCATAAAAAATACCAATCACACTGTTATGCACCAATAGCGATAACAGCCTTTCCAGGCTCTGCAGTCACGTGAACAAAACGACAGAAGCAACCAGCTCACTACAGCAAGATCTTAAATGAGATGGTGGAAGATTTCTCTTCTCCAGATTAAAGAGCAGAAGAAATGCCAAAATGAGCAATGAAACTAATAAGAATGACAGTGTGGGTAGCAAAAACTGTAGCAAAGAAGATCAAAGTTCTGTAACTACGTGAGAGAGCACTCACTGTTTCCAGTGAGCTAAAACAGCACTGTCCATTACACAGCGTTACTGACTGGATCTAGAAAACGTGTAAAGAGCTGAGTACATTTTTCAGCCCTTCAGTTTTAACTACACTAGAAAATATAACTAAAAGAAAGAAATATAATTTGGCTTCTAACCAAAGCAAACACTGATTTAAGACCTTAGCTGAGCTCAAAGACTGCATTGTTTATAAAAGGCCTTAGCAAAGCACCTAGAACATAGTATGTGCTTAATAAAAGCTACTCTTAAAAAATCATTATCAAGAAGACCTGGTCGCACTATCACAGGTAAGTAATGGGCTGCTAACTGCAAGACCAGAGGTTCAAACCCACTGGGTGCTCCTCGGGAGAAAGGGTTATCTGCTCCATTAGAGGTTTACAGCCTCGGCAACTCTGCACAGGGTCAATATGTGTCAATGCATTTGAATGATGTGCTGGTGAAGAACAGTGAACATATCATGGACTGACAGAAAAAGAAACCATCTGTCTTATAAAACCAGAATGCTCTTAAGGACACAAGGAGGATGAGCCTTTGTCTCACATTCTTTGTACATGTTATCAGGGGAGACCAGTTCCTGGAAAAGGATATCATGCTTGATGATAAAGTACAAGATCAGCCAAAAATGAGGAAGACCATCAAGGAGATGGACTGACACAATAACTGTAACAATGGGCTCAAACATACAGTTGTACGGATGGCCCAGAATCAGACAATATCTCATTCTATTGTACATAAGACTGCCATTAGCTGGAACCAACTCAGGAGCACTTAACAACATGAGTCAGAATCGGCTGGATGCCAATGCATTTGGGGTTATCAAGGAGCCTTGGTGACATAATGGATTAGGTTTGGATAGCTAACCGAAAGGTCAACAGTTAGAACCCACCAGTTACGCCTCAGATGAAAGATGAGGCTGTCTACTCTCATAAAAATGTACAGCCTCAGAAATCATAGGGAGTGGTCCTACTTTGCCCAATGGGGTTGCTCTGAGTTGGAATCAACTGGCTGGCAATGGGTCTCTATTTTTCTAGGCTCCTTAATTCTGTAAATAATGAATTAAGACTATGAGTCTTGAAATCCATAAAGAGGCTAATAAAAAGCTACTACAAAAAGAGCCTTTTAGATCTAAAATGGGCACTCCTGACTCCAATCCAGCTACCTGATTAAATTCCAGAAGACTTGGGAATTTCCAGTGATGTGGGCCTTAGGCTAGGTGTTCCAGGTACAGCAAGGAAAACTTGAGTCAGTCAACTGCTATTCTCCTCATTTGTAAAGGAACGAGCAGAAATCAATAATTCATTTATAGTTCTTTGCTGTAGGGCTATCCAGTGCATCCCATAATAGTGCAGAAATGTGTGATGTGGTAAAATAGTTAGGTTTATTGTGCCAACCTGGCCAATAGGAACAAGTGGGATTAATCAGGTTTCAGTTCAATTGGGGGGCAAAGAGACAAATGGCTCTGCAAGGCCCGACACCCCCCTCTCTTGCCCTCTGGTGATCAGAGCATGCTGGAGCGTGCTACTGCTTTAGCCAGTTCTCTGGCTCAACCTGTGAGCTACACTACCTGTGGGCATGTCAACCCATGGGTATTGTCGCTAGAGCTTGAGGCTCCTTCAGGACAGGCTTTGTCACACTGCTGGTGCATACATTGCTTGAGCTTGAGGCTGGTGGATTCTGTTGCCTTGATTGCTTATGTTTGATATCCCAGCTGGGCCTGCTTCGCTAAGCTCTCAAGCTACTGACTGCTGGTG